CCAAGATCAGGACACTTAAAAACAGTCAAAACATTTTTTTTCTTCTTTTAATTAAGAAAAGCTGTCTGAAGGAAAATTCTAATTATTACAAAATGTCTACTCTTGCATCCTGTATTTTGCATTTGAAGTAGTCAGCGCATCATATCTCATATGCCTTACTATGAGACAGAGGACTTGAGTAAAGGAATACAATTCTACCATCTTGTTGTTCCCAGCTTCCTTTGCGAAATGGTCACATTAGCCTGACCCTCATGGTGGTGTTCAGCATCTCCTCTGGGACCAGGATGACAGTGTTTTCCACAATTCTCTAAGCAAAGCTTCACTGGATATAAATAAGTGTCCTAACCACTGGACTAGTCACGATGCATCTTGTTTGGCCACAAAGCTGAAATTCCATTGTGTTTGCGCAGAAATAACAGAGGAAGGCCCTAGGCTATCTTATGACTTAATGATAACCGGAGTCTCCAGGGAGACCAAGATGCAATCCAGAGAGATGCCTCTGAGCGAAAAGTGAACTGTACCATGCCTCCCACTTACTTCACGTCTTTTGATTCAAAACTCAAATGTTTCTATGTCACAGCTCGAAAAGCAAATGCATCTTGTTTGCTCTACTGTGAATAAAGGCGGAAGCAGTTCTGTGGACACTGCTGAGCTGTTAAATGATAAAAAAGCCACAACATTAAGAACCAAATGAGGTTTTTCAAACTACAAAAAGGCGGCAACGAACTGATTAATTCCATCAAGCACAAAACCAAATGTTCTCACTAAGCTGAGATCCAGACACAATTTATGGGGTAAAGATTTTGGACTACAAATTAAATCAAGTTAAATCCTTTTGCAGAAATTACTGTAAAGGAAGAAGAACAAACACTATCAATAAGAAGCAGTGTCATTTGCAACCTAACCATTGAATGCATTCCAATCAACAGACTACAGAAAGGCAGCAAGGACTCTGATGTTAGGTTTGTCACCACAGCTTATTGGAACCCCTCCTCTGTGCAAGAGTGCAGAAGTGTTATAGAGAGGTGGATGAGGTCTCATGCAAATCAAGGTGCAGAGCCTCCATTGGCTTGCACTAGGTTATTTGACAGAGACAGACCCCTAGCATGGAAGTGAATCAGAGAGGAGCAACCAGTCTTCACCTTCACCTCCAGATTTCTGCACCTGTGCACTGAGCAAAGGACCCAGAGAGAACAACACTGGGAATACACAAGTTCCTAGTGCCACATTAAGAACACAGAAGGGGCCTTTCATGAAAGTATCCCCCTTCCTGCCCTAACACAACATAAACAGGCACGGATTTTCACTGCAGCATCACCCCATTCAATCACCATATTCACTTTACTCTGCCTCTTTTTTCCCCTCACTTCTCCCTTTTCCCCACAGACACTTCCTTCCTGAAATGAAGCTTCCAGAATTGTTATTCCACCCACACCACACACACCGTAGTCTAGCTCTTACTATAACAATAAAACAGAGGTGTAGGGATAAATAGCATTATGTGAACTCTGCAAGGGTAAGACCTTGTAAGAGACTAAAACACAGTGACTCCAACCAGCTGTTTCAGTAAATGCTAGCTGCCGTGGTCTCAAACACTGATCATACATCCTTACTTATATAAAACAGCATTTAGAGACTGGCTACTCTTGGAGAAGAAAAAAAAAAAAATACCTGCAGCACAGATACACATTTTACAAATTAATTGACAGAACTGTTCCTGTTTTGCAAGAGGATACAACTCCAAGGCTCCTGAGAACTTTAAACAAAATACAAGCCACAAGCAAGGTAGAACACTCTCCCTCCTCCCCACTATGAGATAGTAGGGTGGGGCTTTTCCACATCTAGTTTCCATCTTTCAACCAACATACAGTATCAATACGATGTTTTAGCAAGTTTCTAAAGAATTTGCTATCTTCTTCGCAGTAACAGAATTTTTACATTGACAAAATTTGACAAAAGCACAGCTACCACTGCAACAAAATAAAAATACCTGATTATTTTGGAGTATAGTTATTCTCACCTATGAGTCTTCTCTGCTACTGAAACCTCAGTTATAAAAGACTGGTACTTGACCTTCAGCCAAACCAACAGTACAAATCCTTCCTGACAAAGGGGTCAGGAACTACAGCTCCAGCCTCACTTACTGTCCCTTTACCCTTCACATCCTCAGGGCATTGCCTCCTGCAAGGCTGTCTCTTGACCAAGTTTAGCAATACCAAGTTAACCAAGCTCCTGGGTTTCCAACACAGAACATCCAACAGGATAATAATAATGTTTTTTGCCCTTTGCATGCAGGATTGCCAGTTCTTTTTCACTTTTACCACAAGTTGAGAAGAGGTAGTCTCTTTCTTCTGGAACCTCTAGATGCCTTTTCTCTCAAGATCCTTCTGTTTCTCAGAAACAAAACATTTGTGCTCTTGAACCTTCCCCCTCAAAGAGGCTGGATTCCCAGATATATCCCCAAGTTTCCTATCTCCGAAGAGTCATGTTCCTACCCCAGTCACTAAAGCAGTGATCTCTTCCTAAACCACAACCTCCCCTTCAACAATTACACAGAAAACTCTGCATTTTAGGCTTAGATGCAAGTTTTTTTCCACCTGGCAGCCCTCTAACTAGCCCAAGTGTCAGGTGTAAGCACATTGCAGTCAAATACAGCCCGCATCTCCTTTTAAACTCCTTCATGACTGGTATATGGCATATACCTGGTGGCCAACCCTGGCAGACAGCTCTGCCCAACAGTATTAACCTAGGTTTTGATTTTTCCCCAGTTTCTTCAAGCTCAGCTATGAATTAGCTAGAGTACACTATTACGGTCTGCCAAAAGGACAGAAATTCTTAACTGGAAATAACAATAAAACAAAATTACGTTCTGCCAAGTTTATTACAGACATTCCCTGTCTCTTAAAAACTAAACAAAATTGTTGCCACGGCTGTTTTTTCCCCAATAACTGGAGAAGAAACAGACAGAATGAAGAGAGAACTCTGTATTTAAATCCATAGCAAATACAGCCGTAATCAGATAAAAGATTAACACGGTGCTCTTGAGAGAAATTCAATCTGATCCACAGAAATGAATTCCAACACACAAGAAAATAACAAACAAAAAGGAGAAAATAAGACAACTGTAGCCTAAGGCAGGATGGTTTGTCCAAATCTGCAACAATTACTCTCATGGAATTTTCAAGAACTGCATGGGTACATGTGGTCAGCTTGGTTCAACAAGACTGGACAGCTCAATACCTAAAAGAATGCAAAATTTTATACTTAGGAGGTGTTAGGCCAAACTTAGTGACTGAATTTTAAAAAACTGACACAAATATCACATGCATAGTTTAGCTCTCTCTATTGGACAGTCATCAGAGTGTTACTCGGGTCTCTGCCTAACTTGAAGTCCCAGAACCAGACAGTCTAAGTACAGTCACTGGCTTTAAAGAAAAAGGAACTCTCTTGTACCTCCACAGTAACCTGGAGCTAGTGTGGACCCTTCAAAGTCTTCCATGACTCTTTCAAACACATCCATGTCCCTCATTCCTGAAGGTATCAACCTTTTTGCCTAGTTTAATTCTTAAGGAACATCCAGCAGATACAAACAAAACCTAAACACGCAGACGGTCTGAACATAGCCACGCTCTTGTTAGTGTCCCCATTACTGGGTACAGCTGGACAAAAAATAAACTTGACATAACAACTCGCTCTCTTGAATGCTGGAGTGTTGTGTGTTGCTTGGTGAGATGGAGACACATCCTTTAAAGTGGTCAGTTTACTCTCTACATTTTTCAAATGTCCTGAGGACAACAAAGTATTTTCAGACCAAGCTCACCTCCTGTGTGTGATCCCCTCATAAAACCTGAGTTCTTCTCAGTTCACTATCTTCTGAGTTTCATACCACACTTTCTGTGTAAGCTCTGCCTCTTTTTCATACCTTTATCGCCATCCCCATGGATGCCACCTTTACTGGAAATACTACATTAGCAAGCAGTACAGATCAGTAAGAGTCAATCTGTAAAGCTAATGTGAGAACCTAACACCCATACTACATACATTTCGGCATTTTGGTTTTTGTCCTTTTGTCAAGCTCTAGTTTGGACACACAGACCAAATGTCCATTTGTGGCTGGAGTATATTTGGCCTGGCCTGGCATGTATCTTCCAGTTCATTCAAGAGGAATCCAATCCACACAGCCCAAGACTGCTCCAAAAACACAAACTGAAATACAGCCAAATTGACTTTGAAAGAATTTTTCCAATCCAAACTAAAATACTTAAGTATACCTATCTCTTGATTACTGTTTTTTAAATCCTTAGAAATGGAATAAATAAATACATGCTTTTCAGGTTTCAAGTGCCTCGGCAAACCACTGTCTACAGGAGATTGTTAACAGCAGACTGAAACACACTACATACTTAAGCTCCAGAGAGCTTGCAGAATTGTTTCCATCAGTAAGGCACACCAGACACAGACAATTCCCACATGCTAAATCTTTATTGTGCGAATATTGTTCAGAGCATTTATTACCCTTTGTAGACACACATTAAAAAAAAATACATTAACAGTGGCTAGATTGATGGGCAACATATTAAATCTATTTGGTGGTAATCTGTATGCATGCAGTTAACTCTTGTGGTGTAAAAATCTTAGCCAGGAGGCCAGCCCAACTGACGACCACCCAGAACATGGAGATGTACGTGATAGACAGACTGCCCACCCTCAGGCCCTTCATTCACAACCATCCGGAATCCATTGGTCAGGCCCAGGTTAGCAGCACACTTCTTGCCAACAATCATTAAATGCCCAAGAAGCTGGAGAAGAAAAAAAAAAAGAAAAAAAAAAAAACAAACAGAAAACACACAAAAAGGGGAAAGGGCAGGAAGAGAAGGAATGAGAGCAGAGAACCATTCAGATAAGCCAGTAAGCTAATTCTAAGAAATTCAGCCACTGCTCTTCAAACTGTTGTCTGCCTGCAACTGATGCTTTCTGAGAAAAGGTATAAAGACTGACTATGCATAATATAGGGAAAAAAAAGAGCTATACATTTTTTTCAAACTAGGCAGTAACAGATTACGAAAGTGTCACAGAAGCTAAGTTTATCTCACGATTAAAGCCCTCATTACTTCTTCGGGCAACGTACAAAATTCTGGTGGAAAAGAAACTTCATCTTATCATGTAAAGGTTTACAAAATCTTTTAACTTGATGTTTATAGTTACAAATGGAATATTCAGCACCTCTTAGCTAACTTGCCCTTTCTTCATCTATGACCTGCCAAAAACCCCAAGCCCATATTAGAGTAAGTACTACTGCCTGTAAACCACGAAAACAGACATCAAGACTGGACTCCAAAATAACAATGCATTTTGCACTGCAAATACATACCCAGAGATACGTTTTGCTTTATATCACTACTTTTACTGGAAAACCTTAACTCCATTCCCATTCTAAGCTAGACAAAAAGGATTATGGTATCGGAAAACTACTTTGCCTCTTTGAAATGTCAAGAGGAAGAAGGGGAAAGTCTAGTAAATTATGAAGTAATTAGAGGTACAGTCTGGCATACAGAAAGCTTCTAGAGTACTTACAGATTCATCAGAATCTTCTGCTTCAGATAACCTGACAATTGGCTTCTTGGGAATCACTAGAAAATGTGTTGGAGCTTGGGGTGAAATATCGTGGAACGCAAGGCACTGGAGGAAGAGCAAACAGTTAAAACAGTGTGCTTCAGAGAAAGGCAAGAGTTTAAGTAAATCAATATGCCCCACTGAACAGACACTTAAGCAGGTTATCAGATACCCCAAACATAAGCAGGAATATTGAATAGTATATCACTCAAGCAAAATCAAAGTCCTCTAATTTCTAAACACAAAACACCTACTTACCAAGACCTGCTGGTATGAAAAAAATCATTCTGTGTTAAGTACTATTTAAAAGCTATAGTCTTCTCAGCAAGTTAATATGCAGTTAGGTTCATGATTTATTATTTCCACATATGCATAACAAGTAACAGAGCTGACAGCATGCATACCTATAAAAGGTACACTTATGCTTATTTCGCTTTTTTATTAACACCCTATTTAATAAAATAAATGGCAAACAGTTGCTAATCATCTTCCAGTTGTGCCTGAATGTCACCTTGGTCAAAGATAGCAAGGCAATTTCAAAGAACCTGAAGTTATGCGATTGAGGCCATATTAAATTTCTGTTATCAACAGCGGCAAGTATTTCAGAAAAAGATTATTTCAAAATAACGTATTAAGGCTGGTTCTGCTTCAGACATTCTCAAACTGAGGGAAAGGCATCACTTTTGAAATATGAATAACTATCTGTAGTAAGCAGTTGACTTGCAATTAATTTTATGCAAGTACCAAACTTACTATCCATCAAAAACTGCATGCAGCATGTAAGTACATCAAATAAATCTCAAATTAGGAGCTTCCAATAGGTAAGAGAAATATAAGAGAATGCAAAGAAAGAAAAAAGGAAGCTATGCCTCTTTGTGCAAATGGCCAAAACAGGACTTGGTGCTGCAGCCACCACAATCTGCAGATGCCCACACTGAGCATGCGCCTTGCCATTGCTAACCAAAGGGCATCCCTGACTTACGCATCACATTTAACAGCAAAACATCTGGTAGTTATTGGTTGAGCTATGCCACAAAGAGTGCATACTTATAACCACATACCTTACATTCTTCAAAAAACTTAGTTCCTAGATGCTTCCAGTTACAGTGAATTTTCTATGCAACTATACTGCTTTTTAATTCTACTGAGAAGAACTGTGGCCTTTGCCAAGAGTAAAAATGGTGAAAAGCCCCAACTTTACTCACATTAACAACACCTTATCTTGTATACCTCCAATCTGTCCTATTTTAACCTATCTTTCAGAAGATAATGTCCAATTTTAAATCTCTGATGAACTGCTTGTTTGTCCCAAACCGAGAAGGGTGGTAAGCAAAGAATGGATGAAAAAAACTAATTTGCACCTAATTAAATAAATCTTACTTTGAGTTGGTCATTTTGTAAGCAGTTTTTCTATTCTATGTGGTCCACATAGAGCCAGAATGCAAATGGCCAAACTGAGTCAAAGAATGTAATGAGCTGAAGACCGGTAGCAAATAATTATCTATTATCTATGGGGCAGAGAGCAGACGTAGTATTGAACAAAAGCACGATCACGAAAAGTCCGTGAGTGCATGGTAAACCAATCTTCATCTCAGGAAGTCTAGATTCAACTGAAACAACAGTGATAAGGCTTCATTCCACAGTGACTTTGTACTTTTTAATATCTCCTTTTCTCTGCATGTCAATTAATGATTAAAAGCCTTCTTTACATTTCTCCTTATAACATTCCAGCCACCTCTAAAAAGACCTTCATAGCACCAACAAAATGAATTAAAGATCATAATTTATAGTCAACTAAACTCTAAAAGCAGTTCTATATTTCTGCACAGTTTAAGGCAAAAATCAGCTGAGATACTGCAGGTACTCTTCCAGAAAATATTCTGCACTAATGGCAGTCAGAGTAGGTTTTATGCCCTCAGGTCACTCATCAAAGCCAATGTCAAGAACAGTGCTCAGGTTACACTGCTGTAGCCATTACAGCTGAGGAAAAACCTCATGCAGCTTTGACCCGGGTAAAGGACGCAGACCCTCGCATAAACACAGAGCAGTAACATAAGCATGATTTTCAAAAAGCAGTGAAAATTTCCAATATTCTCGAGAACAGATGGCAGCTGCGACATTTCTGTACCTATCAAGAAAACACTGATCCAAGCTATGCATAATTTTTAAGCACACAAATCAGACAAACAGCATCTTTAGTTCCTGGGTTTTGTGAGGAGCAGAAAAAGCTGTAATTCTCTGTAAGGGTTTACGTTAATAATTCCTCTCGGAGGTTCGTAACTACAGCCCGGCAGGCACAGCTGTATGATCTCCACAACGCTATCGAGAGGCACATCAAGGCCGGCACTTCTGACGTGCAAAAGCAGCTACCTGACGGTGCGCCGCTTCGGCACGTACACCCGCAATCCACAAGGAGATTGCCTGCGGGTGGTTACCCTCAGGTTTCACGACCACCCTCCTACACAAGCTGCGAGAACCCCGGCCCCCCTGGCAGCAAAGCCGGCGCGGCCCTGCGATGCCGCACGGCTGCGACACGGCCAGTGCCAGCTGGCGCCAGAGGCCTCCTCCG